CCATGCATCAGTGGATGAAGGGGTAAGCCCATTGACTTCCAAGGTTCTTTACCAAATCAGGATTTGCCATTATATCTCAATATTGGGATATTTGGTTAATATAGCAGAGTTTTGCTCAGTCATAGAAGTGTGGTACTGAGTGTGGTAAATAAATCTCCCAAGAAGTATATTGCACGGAAGGTAAACTTAAATTTATTCAAATAGATCTAGTTCACATTCAGGTTGCAGTCAAGAGAAGAGAAAGAAGCCTAATCCAAAGAGGACTTTCCCTATCAGAGATGGCCAGCTTGTCCAGCATCATGAGTGTGGGAGTATGAGAGCATTGTATTAACAGGAGAGACGTGCAGAGACAGGTGCCTCCATGGAAGGCCATCATGTGTAGTGAGAGGACAAAGAGAGAGAGAGGAGAGTTCAAAGGGCAGCTCCCAGGTTAAGACAAAGTGAGGCATCCCATTTAAGGAGATAACACCTCTACACTGACTCTTAAGAGTGATGTAGTGACACCCAGGCTGATTTCCCACAAACGCTGCTCCGCGCTCACTCCTCCCTTTTGCCCCAATGGCACATGTCAATTTCACACAAGCTACTACGCAGCTGCATTTCGCCCTGGAGCTTCACGCGATTTGCTTCACGTGATTTTCCCTGTGTCTACTCAATCCTGTTTTTTGAGGATTGAGTAGATGCGGAGGAAATCGTGTGACGCTCCGGGGCAAAATGCGGCCACGCAGCAGCTTGTGTGAAATTGACACGTGCCATCGGGGACAAAAGGGAGGAGTGAGCGGAGCAGCGCTTGTGGGAAATCAGCCTCAGTGTCCAGGCATGCTGAGCTGCTCACTCCAACACTCAGTAGGGCCAAAAAGAGTTGCAGTTCCTTAAAACACAAGCCATTCTTTGTGTAAGTAATGCCTCCTGATGTCAGTGGCTTAGGTTTACAGCTTAATTTATTATGAACATTTCTGAGACAGAATCAGTTAACGAACAGTCTTGCTGTTGCCTGTGAAAGGTCATAAATTAGTATTTACTGAAAGTTCTACAGACTTCTGTGATTTCTCCCAGTGAAATCAGTGTCAGTGTCAGTCAGCTAAGTTAGTTTGGACTGTCTGACAGACCCTTAGTGTACAGAGCCTTGCCTTCATAAGAACTTTTAGGAAAAGCTAGAAATAGTGTCTACTGTTGGAAAATAAATTCTTCATGGTCTGTATGGGAACTCAAACCTGTGCTGAATTCCTTTCAGAAATTTTGAGAGCTAAGCTGCAATTTTATTTGCTCTACCCATCCACAGAGAATGAGTGCTACTGAGCACATCCCAACTTATCTACTCTGTTTGTCTTCAGTTGCAATAGTGGAGCAATCATGAATAACTTCTGTGTACTCAGAGATGTGAGCTCAGCCTTTCTGTTCACCTAAAAACAGAAATTATATAATATAGGCAGATTTTTATCACTGATCCACAATGAACTTCATTTGCCATATTATTTTCTACACTCCCTGTTTAAAGAAATTCTTCTGGAGTTCTTCATAACCTGCCTTGGTTTTCATCATCCTTAACAATATGGTACCATTCACAGACTTGGCCAGTGCACTGTGCTCACCCCCAACTGCAGATCATTTATTAACAAAGTAAACAGCACCTGTCCCAATACCATCCTTGTGGGACACCACTGCTTACATCCCTTCAGTGACAGAACTGTCCATTTATTCCTACTCTTTGTTTCTTGTTGTTTTACCAATTTTTAAACTATATGAAGACCTGTCTTATCCCATGATTGCCAAGTTTCCTAAGGAGTCTTTTGGTGAGTTACTTTGTGAGAACACTTTTGGAAGTCCAAGTATGTGATTTTTTAACCAGATCACCATCATATGTTTGTTAATCTGTCCAAGGAATTGTAAGAAGTCGGTGAGGCAGGACTTACTTTGCAAAAGCCATGCAGATTTCCTTTAGCGGGCTTTGTTCATCTGTGGGTTTAATACTTCTGTCTTTAACAATAGTTTATACTTGTTTACCCAGAACAGGTCTTAGGCTAACTAGTCTATAATAACCCAGATCCCCTCTAGAATCCTTTTAAAAAATTAGTGTGACATTAGCTACTTTCAGACCCACCAATATGAAGATCAATTTTAGTGTCAAGTTACATGTATTGGTTATTAGGGCAACAATGTCACATTTACATAAGAACATAAGAGACGCCAATGTTGGATCAGGCCAAAGGCCCATCCAGTCCAACACTCTGTACCACACAGTGGCCAAAAATACCAGTGCCATCAGGAGGTCCACCAGTGGGGCCAGGACATTAGAAGCCCTCCCACTGTTGCCCCGCCAAGCACCAAGAAGACAGAGCATCACATGCCCCAGAGCCCCTAACTATACCTTGTGGCTAATAGCCACTGATGGACCTCTGCTCCATATGCTTATCTAATTCCCTTTTGAAGCTGTCCATGCTTGTAGCCGCCACCACTTCCTGTGGCAGTGAATTCCATGTGTTAATCACTCTTTGGGTGAAGAAGTACTTCCTTTTATCCATTCTAACCCGACCGCTCAGCAATTTCATGGAGTGCCCACGAGTTCTTATTTTGTGAGAAAGGGAGAAAAGTACCTCTTTCTCTACCTGCTCTATCCCATGCATAATCTTATAAACCTCAATCATGTCACCCCTCAGTCGTCATTTCTCCAAGCTAAAGAGCCCTAAGCGCTTTAACCATTCCTCATAGGGAAAGTGTTTCAACCCTTTTATCATTCGAGTTGCCCTTTTCTGCACTTTTTCCAAAGCTATAATATCCTTTTTAAGGTGTGGTGACCAGAACTGCACACAGTATTCCAAATGAGGTCGCACCATTGATTTATATAGGGGCATTATGATATTGGCTGATCTGTTTTCAATACCCTTCCTAATAATCCCCAGCATAGCATTGGCCTTCTTTATTGCAGTCACACACTGTCTCGACATTTTCAGTGAGTTATCCACTACAACTCCAAGATCTCTCTCTTGCTCAGTCTCTGCCAGTTCAGACCCCATCAATGTGTATTTATATTTAGGATTTTTGGCTCCAATGTGCATCACCTTGCACTTGGCCACATTGAACCCCATTTGCCATGTTGACGCCCACTTGCCCATCTTTGACAGATCCCTTTGGAGTGCCTCACAATCCTCACTGGTTTTCACCACCTTGAACAACTTTGTATCATCCGCAAATTTAGCCACTTCACTGCTTACTCCCAACTCCAAATCATTAATGAACAAGTTAAAAAGCAGTGGACCAAGTACTGATCCCTGTGGTACCCCACTGCTTACCCCCCTCCACTGGGAGAACTGCCCATTTATACTCACTCTCTGTTTTCTATTAATTAGCCAGTTTTTGATCCATAAAAGGACTTGTCCTTTTATCCCATGATTTTTGAGCTTACTTAGGAGCCTTTGATGAGGAACTTTATCAAAAGCTTTCTGGAAGTCAAGGTAAACAATATCTATTGGATCCCCCTTGTCCACATGTTTGTTCACCCCCTCAAAGAACACTAATAGGTTAGTGAGACAAGATCTTCCCTTACAGAACCCATGTTGAGTCTGCCTCAATAGGTTTTGTTCATCTATGTGCCTACTAATTCTTTCCTTAATAATGGTTTCCACCAATTTACCCGGTATCGACGTCAGACTGACTGGCCTGTAATTTCCCGGATCTCCTCTGGAACCCTTTTTAAAGATGGAAGTGACATTAGCTACCTTCCAGTCCTTAGGAATGGAGGCAGATTTTAAGGAAAGATTACATATTTTTGTCAGGAGATCCACAAGTTCACATTTTAGTTCTTTCAGAACTCTCGGATGTATGCCATCTTGGCCTGGTGATTTATTAGTTTTAAAGTTGTCTATCAGTTTTAGGACCTCCTCTCTCATCACCTCAATCTGACTGAGGTCTTTCAACACCCCTCCCAAAATCAGAGGTTCTGGAGTGGGCAACCACTTCTCATTTTCCACAGTGAAGACAGAGGCAAAAAATGCATTTAGCTTCTCAGCCATTTCCCTATCATCCTTCAGTACTCCTTTTACCCCTTGGTCATCCAAGTGCCCCACTGCCTCCCTGGCTGGTTTCCTGCTTCTAATGTATTTGAAGAAAGTTTTATTGTTGGTTTTTACATTTTTTGCTATATGCTCCTCATATTCCCTTTTTGCCTGCCTGGCCACAGATTTGCATTTTATTTGCCATAGCCTGTTCTTTGAGTTCTTTGAAAACCTTTGGGTGTATGCCATCTGGAATTGAACTCCCTTGATGTCTGTCATGCATTTTATCTGAACAGAACAACCTCTTTAAAGAAAGATCCTCATCTGTTTGCATGTTAGGGGGGTCTTGAGAAAGGGCAGAGTCTTAGCCGATGAATATTGGACTCCATGGCAGTCTGCTATGAACTGGCACACAAGCCCCTACTGCGGATTATTAGCACATTACCACAGTCTGTTACACTTCCATAGCCTTTTCCAGAGGAGTGCCAAGAAGGCTACAGCTTTTGACAGGGATGTTCTGTACACCTTCTTTTAATTCCTTCATTTATTCCATTGCCAAGTAGTTGTGCATCTTTCCCCATTTCAGTGATGCACAGAAGAAGAGTGAATTACTGATGTTCTTTTAAGTAATTATGTGTGATGTCCTTCCCTATAACAGGTACCCTTTCTTCTGCTTGATTGAGTGGGGAGGGGACTGAGCAGGAAGTCATTTTTCTGCACCCCCACAATATGCAAAGTACAGCCCATTCTCCATGGCTGGGCAGGTCAGCCTCCAAAAATCTATTTCATCTTAGCTCTTGAAATTTCCAAATGGTACTCTACACAGGCTCCAGTTCCTATTGGTGTGACAGCACGGATGGCCACCCAAAGAACTCCAGTTACAGGTAAGCAACTTCTTCAGTGCTTTCATGGGCCATGATATAAAGATTTGCATTTTATAATTGCTTATTGCTAGTTTTGTGAGTTTTATACCTATGAATTTAAACAATTTTTTGCACTTTGTTCCAGGCAGATGACTTAGCTTTTGATGGCCCTTTATCTCTACAGTACACCACTGAAGAGCAAATAGTGTTTTTCAGTCATGTTCCATCGATTCCACTCTCTGACCATTCCCAGTCAAGGTTCCATGAGGGGTACATAGGAAAAGCATTAGAATATGAGTAAGTACCAGTAATGCTAAATGTTTTAACCATAATCTATCAAGGAATATTCTGTTGGTCCAGGTGCTTTTAGTTAAAAAGTGTATTTGTTTTTATAGTAAAAATGAGTAAATTGCACAACTTTAAAATGGCACATTTATCGATCACTGGCTTTATACTCACTGTGTTATGATTTTTTTTGCCATTGTCACAGCTGACTTACGGCAATTTCCAGTGATTCCACCTTTCTGCTGCACACACCACTCACATTATTCCTCAGAGTCCCCCATCCTGCAAGGAGCAGAATTTTGTGTAGATTAGAGAAGAGAAGAAGAGAAGAGATTGAATTTATACCCCGCCCTTCACTACCCAAAGGTGTCTCAGAGCGGCTTACAGACTCCTTTCCCTTCCCCTCCCCACAACAGACACCCTGTGAGGTAGGTGGGGCTGAGAGAGCTCTTGACAGAGACTGCTCTTTTTCAAGAACAGCTGTGCCAGAGCTATGGCTTGCCCAAGGTCATCCAGCCAGGTGCAAGTGGAGGAGTGGGGAATCAAACCCGGTTCTCGAGTCCGCGAACTTAACCACTACACCAAACTGGCTCTCACACCAAACCACTACACCAAACTGGCTCTCCGGCTGCAGTGAGAGTGGAAAATTTATTCCGAATACAATCCAAATGCTTTTCCTGATCATGAAAGGCAAGGAAGTTTGTTTATTTGATTGGAATATGATCTTTTATTTTGCAAAAATAGGGGCTTTGGTTTTTAAAAATTGTTCAGTGGGTCCTATATTTCTTTTGTCTGCTCCTAGAGCTACTTCACCCCAAGGCTCCACACCCCAAGGCATAGGAAAACTGTAATAGCTCATGTAGTGGATTGCTGAGATTTCAAACTTTTAGTAGACATTGTAGTATTTTACTGTATTTTGAATGATTTTATCATGAGGCATTACCCAAATTGTATCGTGAATTATTTTATTATTGTTGTATTGCCCCAATGAGGCATTGTATCGTCTGTGACTTAAGTTCTGGTCATAGACCATGAATAAAACCTTCTGGATGTGTTACTTTACTATAACCACCACACACACACTCTTTAGGATTTACGAGTACTAGGTTGGAAGAAGCCAAATGGGACAAGTTCTGAACATGCTGTAGATAATTTTATTTAAAGTGTAGGCTGACATTGTGATCCAGTTGTGCTTCCTTTCCATTCAGGATGGGAGGAGTAGGCATAATCAGCAAGGTTTCTCAGCACAAGTATCCTCCACATTTTTTATCATCTGTCATGGTTTATGTTCTGGAACGGTTCCCTGTTGAGACCAGTGCTAGCAGCCCTTGCATAAAAAATACGTTAACCATTCTGCAACCTGATCCCGGCACTACTGCATTTAAGCTTCAGCTTAGTGCTTCAGGTGAGTTAAAAATATAGAGAGCTCATGGCAATGAGGCGACTTTGGGAGGTAATAGTTTCTTTTATTTCCCTGTCAGTCTTCTGTATGACTTGTGTTCCTTGTTCAATGGCCATGTTTCCTCAGCTCCTGCTTGCTCAGGCACACTTATTTTCTGAAATTCACTCTGACACCTTGAAAAGGCTTACTCTTAGCATATGCACAAGTATGAAAGCACATCTTCTTGAAGGGACTGACAGTGCTTGTGCACTGTTAAGCTATCCTTGTCCAATGAGCTAACAAATGTAAGTTTACTCTTGGACTTCTCACTTTTCGTGAAGTGGAAAGTGGGAGCTACTGCCAGGATTGTTCTTCTGCCTCCTGCGGTCAGTTCAAAAATTGTCTTCCCCATTTGACCTCACTGACCTGGCTTCACTGAGCCGTGCTTTTGTAACCTGGAGATTGGATTAATGGAATGTTCTTTACATGGGGCTGCCCTTCAGGACACTCTGGAACCTGCAGTTACTGTAGAATGCAGCCGATCGGCCCTTTAGCTGGAGTGAACCACTGTTCACACATAACCCCCATCCACACTGTAATTCTGATCCAGATTAAGGCTCAAGTGGTTGTTATTTACAAAGAAAAAAGACTTGTGAGCTCTGAACAAGGAACTGAGCTTTAGTTAATGGGTGAATGGCTACCCCTGTCTTTAAAATGTAGATAGGAATCAAACTCTGCTCAAAGGAATGTGGATTGAAACCAGTTTTGCCTAATCAGAAAAGGCGGAAAGAGAATTTGTAAAAAGTATTTGCTGTATTTAGTGTTAATTTGAACTTTTTCTTCTGAGTTTATATTGCTAAGTGGTGCTGCCCATGAATTTCCTCATGCACCCTTATAAGCTTTCCTCAACCGGTACTACTGTACAGCGCTTCTCAGTTCACAATTCAGGCAGTATCTTCACGGTTGCTCAGAATATATTGCAGGGCTTCAGTGACATTGACTAGGAATGTGGCAATCAGATATATGGAGCATTTGTTATACATGCCCATAATAAAACTGATCAATACTTTCCTTCTTTCTTTAGTAAAATAAGTATTTATTTATATTACACTTATTTTACCTAAAAAATGCATCCAAAAAGGACTGCTCCACCTCCCTTGATGACGTGCCAGTTTAGGTGGGAAAGGCTGGCCTGGTCGGGGAGAGAGAGTGTTCCTAGCACCTTAGAAAGCACTGGATGAGAAAAGCTTTCTATCAAATACTTCCACAGCAGGCCTGCATACATGCAGTCCCATGTTTGCTTGCACAGAAGACCATTTGGTGAACATAGGTTACATGTAAGCACAACCTTATTTTCCTATTTAAAATCTAGATTCCTTTTACTCCAAGCAACAGAACCAAAAAAGAGGAGTGCATTTTTATTGTCTAGAACTAACACTGCTGCCAAGTCAGCACCAGACCCCTTTCTTATGGAAGAACAAATACGCAGGCAGACAAACACGGAGACTTCAGTGGTATACATAAAACTTGGTCAGCTTTATTCAGATCTCCGTTCAAATGCAATGTGACACCATGGTTTATTTTTTGTGTGGCTAGTTTGTGAAACTAGGAATAGGCCCATAGATAAAGACTGAATTGTGGCTGTCTTACCAATACCTCATTTCAGTGGCTTCTGCTATTTCCCCTGCCTTTTTTCCAGAGACCTACCTGGTGGTATCACTGTTTATTTTGCAGCATCCAACTTATGGCAAAGCCTCTCCATGTTGTCAACTAATTTACCATCTGCTGGGGAAACTGTACTTGGGAAGCTTCAGCTGATCTGGGAATGACAAGAAACACTCCCCCTCAGAGAACTGGGAAAGCTTTTCATTAAAAAGGGGGGGGGATTCCTGTCACATGCTATACAAGGTGCTTTCAGCAGATATTTGTGTCCCCACCTCCACTTCTGTACTCATATGCCCAGGAATGTTTCTGTCTGTCCACAAATACCACTCACCAACAGCAATCACTGAGTGTTTATACATGGAGTCCCAAGCCCCTATGAAAGCCAGTTTGGTGCAGTAGTTAAGAGCGTGGACTCTAATCTGGGAGAACCGGGCTTGATTCCCCACTCCTCCACTTGCACCTGCTGGATGACCTTGGGCAAGCCATAGTTCTGGCACAGCTGTTCTTGAAAAAAGAGCAGTTTCTGTCAGAGCTCCCTCAGGCCCACCTATCTCACAGGGTGTCTGTTGTGGGGAGGGGAAGGGAAAGGAGTTTGTAAGCCGCTCTGAGACTCCTTTGGGTAGTGAAGGTCGGGGTATAAATCCAATCTCCTCCTCCTCCTCCTCCTCCTCCTCCTTCTTCTTCTTCTTCTTCTTCTTCTTCTTCCCTCCCACTTAGATACAAAGAGAAGGCAAGTAACAAACAGAAACAGTTGTGAATGTCAGTTTGGATAGGTTAAAGCAGAAGTTCCCAAACTTATTTGGCCTACCGCCCCCTTTTCAGAAAAAAATTACTCAGTGCCCCCCTGGAAATCTGCCTTCAAGAAGTGGACAAAAAGATGCAATGACAAATTTGCACATAGTAAAGAAAGATGTTGTTGGCCTGAAGCCAGAGGCCAGCAGCAGCCACCACACAATAGCCCAACAGCAACACCAGTCTTACAAGGGTGCACATGCATTTGCACTTTGCAAATGCATGGCTGTGATTGGCTGTGGGGATCCCTCTCCCCCTTCCTCCCTGATCCCAGGGAAGACCAGGAGAAGGCAGGAAAAGGCTATTTTAGATAGGTTCTGGACTCTTCTTTCTATATGCTTCCACTGCCCCCTTATTTTTATTCAACGCCCCCCAATTGCACCCAAAGCTCCTACCTGGATTGTTCCCAAGGCACCTGGATCATTCCAGCACCCCCTAGGGGGTGGTATTGCCTACTTTGGGAAACAGTGGGTTAAAGTGTGTGTGTGCTGGAGTGGACCCCTGGAGCAGTTTTGATAGGTTGGATATGAAGTGGGGGGTGAGTGGGTATGAACTTGGCTGCAGGAAGCACACTGGGTTGGCAGGTGTGGACTTTCAGAGGTACTGGCTAATGGTTTTGCAGATAGCCTTTGTGTGACTGGCTACCAAAAGGGGGGGGGGGGGGGGTCAGTAGCTGCCCAGAATGGAGTAATTGCCTTGGAAACTGCAGCCACCAAGGTTCCTCACTAACTTGGTGATCAGAAGGAAGTTTAGGTATCCTACAAGACTAAAGTCACCTCTTGCTTGAAGATGTGCATAGTACAGCACACAATGAGCACATCTAAGACCCTGTAAGGAATGCCAGCAGTGCTTCAGATGGCCTCTCCACCAGCATCCAGGACCAGCTATGATAACTAATTGTACTTCTTTTCATCTGTGGCCTAGGGAGCAGGTGGGGGGGGGGAGCAGAATCATGTCTGAATAAGTACAGGCTCTCAAAGGACCTTAAAGCCAAAGTCCTGCTAAGGGGGCAGGTTGGGCAAGACAAAACCAAATGGTTGAAGTGTGATTCCTCACACCCAGGGTAACACTACCACCAGTCCCCTTACTACTCTGTCAGCCAGAGACCAAGGGACTAAGTTTCTAGCTGTCCTGGGCCTAAGAACAAGGAAATCAACCCTATAAGGTAGGATGCTTACAATATCAGTTCCAGAAAACAATTATTTGGTAGTTTGGTAGCTGTGGCCAATATGGGCTAAAGTTCTGGATTCAGACTGAAGCCCCAAAACCCAGTAATATCACATGTTTGTGTTTTAATGTGGTTTTAACCCTTATTGTAAGCCACCCTGAGCCTGCCTGTGGCGGGGAGGGCAGGATAAAAATTGAATAAAATAAATAAATAAAGTATAATTAAAGTGATTTATTATAAGATTGTCGTTAACGCACTTTGCGCTCACCAATAATAACTTCTCAAGACAGGTCTCCTTCGATGAAGCAGGTTTTTATTTGGATACAGCCTGCAGGCAGGGTGCGTCTCGCTGTTCAGAGAGCATTGAGAACACACACCGAATTGAGTTATTCAGCCTACTTATATACTCTCCCCGGAGAGGTGTGGAAAATAAAAAAATGCCCTCTTCCGGCCCCCAGAGCTGGTGACCAGAAGTTACATACTGCAATTCCCGATCGCCTAATTACTTCACTTCTGCTTTTTATTTAGACAAACCCAGTATTTTCCTTAAAAGGGCATCATTTCCCCTTATTCTTTAATTCCTCCCCACAAAGTTCAATCTTGAGTCACTCGGGTCGAGCCCCCCCTGGTCCGTTGGGTCAACAGGAATTTCAAACCACGAGATGTTCTCTCCCTTCGAGTATGTGTTCATTACTTTTTCACAATCATCTTAAGCTGCCCAGCCTACTTCTCTATTTTTCTCCAGCCTGGGTTAGCGAGAACAAACAAGTCAAAGCAGTATAAATATATATATTTGGGTATATGTGCTAGTTATTAAATACATTCTTCAAGCATATTGATTTCTTTGCTAGGTAAAATTTTCAGGTACTTTTTCCAGTGTCACATTAAAGCTATGGCAAGCCCTTGTTGTGTTTTGCCGTTTGCTAGGTAACAGTTGAACTTTTTCCTCTCTTAGCTGGCCCTGGAGTTTAGTTCCTATTTTCTAGCCTTATTCCATAACCCCCTCTCAACGCCCACCACAAGTATCTTGAGACAGGTCTTCTCATAAACTGGGACAGGTCTTCTCATAAAACAGGGACTTTTAGACCGCAAGATGTCCTATTTCAACAGGCCTGTCTTGGGCCATCATCTTTTCGACAGACTTGTTTGTCAGAGTCAAAATGCCAGGTTCCTCATTTTGTTTAGACTGGTCAGCATATACACTAAGAATATATAAAAATATGCAAGATTAAACATAATAGTTCCTTTGAAAAGCTTCTGCCTATCTTTATGTTCCAACTACTCAACTGTTAATCATTCCACTGGATAGTCAGGTATCTTAGGTGCTTTTCCTGTCACCCAAATTGCTGAGTGTAACCAGGTTCTTCAAGACTTCTGCTCAACAGTTGGCAGCTTAGTTTCTTCATATAGACTATCCTATCTTTTCGCTGTCTGGTTGCATTTCTGCTTTCTAAGCAAGCAAGCGTAAGCATTTATTTTCTAGCAATACACTTTTAATTTCAATACACAGCAAACGTCCCTCTAACTGAAGGCAATTTTCTATAGGTTTTAAAGTAAAGAATCCTTAATCTTTGTGAAATATTTCTTTGCTCATGGCAATTTCCCCTTTTTACTGAAGACAATCTTTTGCAATGAGTGGGGTGGTTTTGTTCACGCCGGCTGCTGTGTAGCAGAGTTCCTCTTTTCTAGCAGTCTCCCTTGAGTCAACTTTATAGTAAGCCCTAATCATTGATTGATTTCCAGCAATACAATTTTAAAGCAATACTTTAAAGAGTATCTGACAGAAGTCTTTATTCAATTCATTTCTTACAAGATTGTGCAGAAATATACAGTAAAAGAGCAGTGAACAGTGAGGATAAAATAATAAAGCTAAAGATCTAACCTGAACACATTTACAAGCATTTGTTCAAGATCCAAGTTTTATCCAGCGAGACTGTTTCAAAGTCCAAAGTCCAAGGCAAGAGCTCCAGACAGCATGGCCCACCCAGAATCAAGATGTGTCCCAAAGTTAGGTGGAATCCAGACAAGGGGTGAAACCAGAATGAAAGATCTTTCCTTTATGCTCAGTGACTTGCATTGGCAAGATCCTAGTTGACCAATCAAATGTATAACAAATGATGGGCACGAAGTGGAGTACGAAGTGAAAGTTGTCGCAACTTGTGCTGCTTTGTGCATTTTGAACAGCTGCTTTGGGTGATTGCTTTGTTGACTAAGCGATCCACAACTCACTACATTTTTCTTTGGCAAGTCGTGGCACTTCATGGGCACTTCATTGGGCCAGACAGCCGGACCCCTGTATTAAGGGCAGCATCGCTCTACACAATTCAGAGCTGGTGCAATGGAAGCAGGACCTCTGTGGGGAGGTCCAGAGGCTGCAGGACGAATGATATGGGGAGGATGAATGACAGCTAAAATGTCCCAGTTCCCCATGTCTTGCCTCTAGAGCCAAGCAGAGGGACTTAGCTCCCTGTAGATCTGCACCCCCCAAACTGGGTGCAGCTGGGTGATCTGGGTCAGTCACAGTTCTCTCAGAGCTGTTCTCTCAAGAGGAGCTCTTTCAGCCCCACCTACCTCACAGGGTATCTGTTGTGGGGAGCAGAATGGAAGGAGACTGTAGGCCGCTCGCTCTGAGACTCTAAGTGAAGGGTGGGGTATAAATCCAATCTCTTATTCTCTTTGCCGAATACACCAACACTCTGGAGTTGTATAGGGTCCAATTAAGCAAGCACCTTCTCCCACCCATTGATTTGGGCAGTGAAAAGATGGCATGTATCCTCCCAGATTCTTGTGGCCTTAAAACTGCTAGGTCTAATGGCCTGCCTGGTACCTGTGTTCCTTCTCATCTCCCTTATTTAGCTCTTTGAAGCTACAAGCAGCTTGACCTCAGAGAGTAAGAAAACTTCCACGATTCCCTGCCTAGGCCTCAGCCTGATTCATTCTTTGAATTGACAAGAGACCAGTCTCTTCACACAGGCTATTTCTGATTATCATGGGCTTCACTTCTTCTTTGCTGATCACTGTGTGTAGTAGTATTTTCTGCCTAGAACTGCTAGGTGCAATTATTGTGCTGGCGGGGGGATCTGAGGGGTGGTCCAGAGAGGGCAGTGATGTCCCTGATGTGATGACATCATGCAGAAGTGATGTCATCGCCAGGGCAGATTAAGGCTCACTGTTGCCCTAAGCACTGACCAATCTTGGTGCCCCCCTCCTTTCCACACTGACTCAGTCCATTTTAGTTGTTGACCTGTCTGACCAGATATACAATGCAGGTTGCAGCAATACAAAAATTTATTCATATGATAACACAATATACTGTACAAACTAAGCTTTTCACCCTTTCCCCAACTTTGTGGTGCCCCCTTTGGCCCTGGTGCCCTAAGCACGTGCTTAGTCTGCTTAATGGTTAATCTGCCCCTGGTCATCGCATCAGTAACATTGGGGGCAACGCTCTGCTTTTGGGGCAGACTCTATGGTTAAAATTGGGCTCAAACCATAGAGTTTTGCTCAAAAAGCAGAGCATAGCTGTGTGACATCACTGACGCAAAGATGTCACTTCCACATGACATAATTGCATCGGGGACATCACTGCATGACATCACTGTTTGGGGGCGGGCAAAAGCCCCCAAAATCAGGGGATCCCCTACCCAGTCTGGGAATCCTATCCTCACCACAAGACTGCTCGTACCATGAGTGAGACCACATATAAAGGGAACTCCAACTCCTGGAAGACTGAATCCTCACAGCACAGTTTTATAATAGAGGGCAGAAACAGTTTGTTGATGATACACACCAACTCCCTGAAGATTTTATTGGTGGCAGAGGCCCATCAGCTCCCAGATTGTACAGGACAATGGTAGGCCACTTCCAGAGTGGGACCACATACCACATGATGATCATGCAGAATATGAGTCATGTCCTCAACAATGCAGTCCAAGAACATGTGGAAGAAAGCCCTGAAATTCTGGTCATTTTATTTAATGTTAGTCATTACAGTGGCAGTGGGGTGATTCTGCTGCCCATACCTGGGTACATTATTGATGTAGCCTATAATGTGGTGACAACATTTAAATGATGAGCTTGGGCCCTTAAAAATAGGAGATGGGATCCATGAGCTGGCAATGATGTTCCTGGGTTGGATGATATTCCCATAATGGATGAGCATACAAGCCATCTGGGGCCTTCTTCCTGGTTGGGGAGGAATGGCTGAAGCAACTTTGTACACTAGTTTCTATGCCCACCTATATATTGATCAATGTCCCTGGCATTGCAGGTGTGGCAGGCTTAGCGGAAGAGGTGGCAGTATCATAATGCTGACGTTCTGAAGGTGAAGGTTTACTAGGAGGCAACTTTCCATTCAGTAGCTGGGGGTGATGGCCATTCTCTGAAGCAGGACTGTCGCCAGTGATCTCCTTGAATTTTTCTTCAAGAAATTTCTCCTCTTGTACTGCTGTGGTGCATGGTCATATCTCCTCTGCACCATCTCTTTGGAGAATCAGTTGAATACCACCTGACTGAAGTATTGGTTAGTAAACTCCTCCTGGACTGCTTAGCAAAGCCACAAGTTTACGAACGTCACAGTCTCAACATCAGTTTGCCACAAGGCTGTCATCTGGGACTTGAAGTACTGATGGTTCTTAGCCGGGGGCGGGCGGGGGGGACTGTGATGCCATGGTTTGGGGTGGCTGGACAGTGTTCTGTGCAGCAAGCAAAGTGTCTCAGGAATTCTGGTGATTAATGAGTGAAGCATTGGGGTGTGCTTTGCTGGGAAGAGATAGCCAAGGCCCTGCTGACATTGCCTCCTCCCCAGTTTTGCTGGTTCTTTAAGAGGATGGTGGAGGGAGCAAAGAGAAGAGCCTGATACCAGACCGACCAGGAGCCTATGGTGTGTAACAGCAGCTCCCACCAGTGAGAAGCAGCTGAAGGATAGAATGGTTTCATTTTTGAGCTGCTCTTATCAAGCAACTGTAGACATGGAAGGTGCAGAACAATTGTGGGAAACAAGGCAGGAACAAACCTGGATAATGTGTTCATACGCAAAAGTAAAACCATGGTAAAGACTGTGATTAGTAAGCCAGCTTCATTTCATGACTTTAAAAGATTGATTTTGCCAACCCTAACTAACCATAGTTAGTGTGGTGTCCTCCATTCAAACAATTGATCAAATAGGGTTAGTTTAATTAAGCATGGTTTTGCATTGCATCTGAAGTGATCCAGAGCCTTCCAGTGCAGAGAAAGACAGTGCATATTTGCAACAGTAGCTTCTTAGTCCCAGTTGTGTATATTGAGCAGCAATTCTCATAAATACTTTCTAGAAAGTTCATAAAAATCTCTGCAGATTTTTATCTGCATAAAGTGTTACATGGGAATATAATTAAATGGTATTTCTTTTTTTAAAATATAGCCTTTAGGTACAGTCAAAACAAAAACCTGGCTTCTTCTGCATCCCAAACTGTGCACATCTTATACTGGGACTGTATAACTTGTGTGCTACTGAGTCAGATGCCACCTACTAGTCACATATTATGGCCTGAAAAATGCTAAAAACTTTCCCTTCTGCTTTTGGAGTCTGGTAAAACACCCTGTTGCATTTTTACTGTGGTTACAGATTTTCCAGGTGTGCACTATGCTAACAACCAAATCCATATATATAGGAGGTTGTTACATTCTAGTTGCTCTGTTTCCCAAGCCAAATCTGTCCACATGATTAATTTTCTTTAAAATGGAAAAAAATGTGCTGCTTTGTATCAATCTAAAGAAGTGAACATACTTTATTTTAAGACATTAAAATAATGTTCTGATATGATGTTTATTGTTTCTAGGTACTGACATATTTAAAGCATCTGACATTCAGAAATCTATCGTTATTCTAGGATTCAGCAGTTTTCTTATAGTAGATGTTACGGGAAGCCTCACTGCTTTAGCAGATGCTACTATGCCTCAGGTAGTGCCTTTAAATACACCTTTTCGAAGTGGACAGTGGTTTATGTATGACTTTGGCACTACGAATGGAAAAAGATGGAAGGTTGTTACTGACAAATGTAGGTATACAATGGAACAGACTGATGATCTACCAGTCCATGCCATTAAATACATGGATCTTGGGTCAACACGGAGCTTTTCATTCAGCGTAACACCAGTTAATGTAGGTAAGACACTTGAGATCTTGCATTTACTTATATTCAATTTTTTCAGCTCTCAAAACAACCTATAGAATATGAGGGTATGAGAACAGATAGGTAGACATGTTGTTTAAGTGAGAGTTTCCAGCAATTTCACTGATAATAGTAGCCTCTTTCTAAATGTGAAGTATTAATATAATTAAAAGGCAATCAAACAAAATCCACCCCTTTATGTGGTATAGTGGATAGTTGTGTGTGGGACACCCCATATAGTCCCAGTAAGAGTATTCTTTAGAAACTTTAGATTTCCCCCCCCCCATATACATTTAGATTCAAGTCCAGTAGAAACAAGCCACAAATATGGAGTCCATCAAAATCTCAACAAGAATATGCTCACAAATATGGGAAACAAAACAATGGCCCACAGACTGGAAATGCTCAATTTACATTCCAATAACAAAAATGAGAGATGTGAAATATTGCAACTATCGACCATCGCATTAATTTCTCACATGAGTAAAATGACAGAAAAAGAAGAGGTACTAGAGATAATATTGCATATTTATGCTGGTTACTGGTGCATATGACAGAATTTCAGAAGAGAATCAGCTTGTGTTTCATAGATTACAGCAAAGCTTTTGACTATGTGGATCATGGGGGGAAAAGCTTATGGTTGGTTTTTAAAGAAATGGGTGTGCCACAAAATGGAATTGTTTTGTTGTGCAACCTGTGCTGTGGACAAGAGGCTATTGTTAGGACAGAATGTGGAGAAACAGAATGGTTTCCAGTTGGCAAAGGTGTCAGAGAAGAATGTATTTTATCTCCCTATCTCTTCAATCTATATGCAGAACATATCATAAGGAAAGCTTTGTTCATCTTTGTGACTTCTGTACAGTCCAACATGGGGACTGTACACATGCAAGCCAGCCATAGAGAAAATTCCACTGCTTTCTAGCAGTTTCTAGGTTCTGGAGTACTCTCTTCTCCTTCAACATGGGCCGGAGTTTTTCTGCCCAAACTGGCACATGATAGAGGTGGGGCAAGTGGTCCTTCCCACAGTTCTCTCTCCACCTCTGTGGAGAAACGACATAGTTCAACTAACTCATATTTTCTTCAGTTCTTCGTCTTGTGAGTGTATTTTAAATGGCTCCTTTTGAAAAGTGCAGTGGGTATGGGACCAAGATGGCTCAGTTAGATGACCATAAGCATTGTCTGATATGTCTTGGTGAGTCCCACAATGTGTCGGCTTGTAACATCTGCCACCAGTTTAACCCAAAGGTGCTTCACGAGAGAGCCTCTTTCCTCAAAGCCTCCTTGTGAGAGAAAGCATTGGGGGCCCTGGGGAAAGACCAGTCATCTTGGAGGGTTGAGGAACTGTAGGCCAGGGTCCAAACTCCCTCAGTGGGGATAATGCCCTTGGGATCATTGTCAGAACAATCTACATCCTCAGATATTAAGTCAAACCTGGTTCCAAGAAGTTCCTTGGAACTGCCTTTAAAGAAGTCCAGGGACAAGAAATCTAAGCCAAAGGACTCTGCAACCAAGCACTCTCCTCCATTGAAACATTTTGGGATCTGTGGCATTCCCAGTATTGCAGGGACTGATTAACACTTCCAAAGGCATTTGGGCTAAGTCTGCCTCAGTGTTCCCCTCTACTAGGAAATAAGAGTCAATGTACAAGGTGAAGGAACAAGGCTGCACGTTCCTGTTCACTCATCCTGTGGCAAATTGACTAGTCACTGAGGTTCTCCCCTCCCAGCATTGCTCTGGGAATCATGCTTCTCCCTTTGATAAAGAAGGGAGAAAGCTAGCTAGGCACCCTTGGCAGAAAAATGTGCACCTCCTCTGCCCTCATCCTTTGCATGGCAAATTTCAATGCCATTATCGGAAGGTATCAAGTGTTCCTTTGGGAACATATCACTCAACATCTTGATACCTTGCCTGATGAAAAGAGATCTCTAGCTAAGGTAGTACAGACTGAGAGTGTAAAGTAGCAAATTAATACTGCTTGTCATGTAGCTGGGGGGGTGGGGCTGTGGCACAGCAACACAGTCGGCACCAGGAATAGCTCCTGAGTACCACTGGCTCTTTGTTGTTTCTAGAGGAGTTCTCGGGGGATCCCGAACTCCACTGGACCTCCTGGAGAGAGGTCTGGTGCAAGGGACTTGATTCAGGCCCCCCACTTGAGGCAACAAGCAGGTTGATGCCCTGGATCATCCCAGAAGCAAGCAACAAACCAGAGCAGAGATGGCAGCCATAAATGCACCAGCTATGAACTCCCCAGAATTAAAAGAGTTATATTGAGCCTCATCAGTAACATCGATGAAGAAATCCTATGTAAGTACCTATAAAGCAACATCAAAGAAACTGGCGACCTCTTGGCAAAGCCCCTTTAAAGATTTTAAAAGACATGGAAAGGAAGGATGAAACTCCCCCCCCTTTCTTTGTGGAGTGGCTGGGACGATTTATGTAAAGAAAGCCAATTTGAATATATCCTGGGGCAAAGAGGGTCTATTGTTTGAGCTTCTACAAAAGGATTATAAGGTTTTTATTGGAAAAAGAAAGAAAGAAATAGAGATTTCTAAAGTTAAATTCCTTACTCTTTTTGCGATTTTTATGACATCACGCTTCATTGCTGAGAACGTAGGAGTCTATTTTGTCTAGAGCTGCAAAGAACGTTATCTGTGTGAAAGGATTCTTGGTTGTTCTGTGAGAGAGACTACCTGGTAAATACAGTCAGCCTGAAAGACTCTACGGGCAAATAATTTGCAGAGCTTTTGAGTGTCGTTGGACTGAACTGGGATTTTGGTATTGCATTAAAATGGGTGACCAGGACATACAGTGCATAGACAGTTCTACAGAAACCAGCCTGCTGCAGTTGTCAATGGAGGAGCTTCAGACTTTAATTTTGATGCAGTTAACCAGGGTGTCAACCAGGCGTTTGAGCCAATATATGTCAAAAAAGGTGTTACACCAAACCAGACTACAAGCAACAAAAAGAAATCCCAGCACCAAGCAGCGCAAGAAGCAGAACAACACAGCACTCAAGTGGATCTAGCATACAGAGAAAAGGAACTTAAATACCAAAATGGGCAAATTTTAGAACAACACTGCAATCAAGCTGATTTAACTTACAGAGGAGCCCCTACAACAAGCTGAACAAGACGCAGAGCAGCACTACATTCAACTTGATTTAACCTACACTGAGAATAACAGATCTACAAAAAGTCTGCAGAACTCTGGAATCCTCAAAGTAATAAAAGGAAAAATATTCCAGAGAGAAAGTGGAACAGAGTCTATGGAATCCTTAACTACCCTAAAATTTGAATATAGATGGCAAGCACTAAAAGAAATCCTCTCTACTTATACGAGGGAAAAGGCACAGAACCAAGACTTTATTGAAAACAAGAAATTACAAAAAGAAGAAAAGACTTAACCTCTATAAATGAGATGGTTCTAGGGAACCTTTGTTTCATGTGTAATTGATTAAAACGGGTCAGGGACCTTCTCTGTATATGTAACTGTTTAACATCGGCTATAATTGAATTCCCCCCCCAATTATATCCACAAAATTACAGCATGCAAGGGTTAAAATCTATAAGCAAAACTGATATTAAAAATATAAAGTTTTGTTATTAAGAATGTAGTTTGATATGACATAGGGCTATTCCAAAATGGATCTTTCCAATGTAGCAGCAGACTCCCTCAGCAGGTTGACAGTCTGCACTCATGAGTGGTCCCTTTCTGACATCTAGGTAAAGGTAAAGGTTTCCCTTGCTCAAAAGCCAGTCAAATCCGACTCTAGGGTGCAGTGCTCATCTCCATTTCCAAGCCGAAGAGCCAGCGCTGTCCCAAGACTTCTCCGTGGTCTTGTGGCCCGCATGACTAAACACTGAGGTGCATAGAATGCTGTTACCTTCCCACTGAAGCAGTACCTATTTATCTACTTACAATTTCTTCCTTTCAAACTGCTAGCTTGGCAGGATTCTGACATCTACCTGCTCTCTATTTTCCACCAGTGGGGCTTCTCAGTCATAAACCTCTTTGCCGCCTCACAGAATACCAAATCCCTTGCTGGTATAGATTAATAAAAAATTCCTTTTAAAATTCCTCCTATCCCTGTTCTAGACAGGGTCATAGTGAAACTCAGAACACGTCATTCCACATGCAACCTGGTGGCTCGCCATCCCCCCTGACCATGGCCAAAAACACTTATGTTCTCCTCCTGGCAGTAGAGGACCTGTTACATACAGGTTGTCTGCTACATCACAATGTGAGGTCCCTGCACCTTGCAATGTGGTGAATACAGGGAGACCAGTGTGGCCAATACCTCAGCACATAGGCCCTCTACCTGGAAATCTTATGCTGCTAAATGGTAAAGATTTCAATACTGGTTGTCTGGCAAAGAATCCTGTCTCCTACATATTTATTTATTTATCCGTTCATTCATTCAGTTTGTACCCCGCCCTTTATGATTCCTGAAAGACTTGGACCTGTCGGTGACCTCCATTAAGATACACTTGGCTGCAATTTCTGCCTATCACAATGGTGTTGAGGGTCATGCCATGTTTTCTTCTAAATTGTCTAAAAGGTTTTTGAAGGGGTTGTTCAATATGTACCCAGGACTTCCTCCACTGGTCCCTCAATGGAGGCTTTCTTTGGTCTTGTCATGTTTAATGTATAAACCATTTGAACCCATGGCTACGTGTGATTTATCCCTACTATCTTACAAAATGGTGTTCTTAATCACCATCACATCAGCCCGCCGGGTAGGTGAACTGGGGGGCCTCAGCTGTCCCCCACCCTTCCTTAAATCTCATGGGGATAAGGTTGTTTTACATACAAAATTAGGGTTCTTAACCAAGGTACCTTCCAATTTCCATATATCTCAGGGCATTGTCCTGCCAATATTCTTTTTCTTCCTCTCCAGCTCAGAGGAACACACACTGCACACCATAGGTGTAAAGAGGGCACTATTATTTCAGATTGTACAAAGGAATTTTGTTAGATGGATAATCTCCTGATCTGTTTTGCTGGTCCACATAAGGGGCACCCAGTTCTTCTTAGACCATTTCTTGGTGAGTGGTTTCTGCCATCAAAATGGCTTACTTGCTTTCCAACTTACTTGCTCCCCATTAAGGTGCACTTGACCAGGACTCAGGTGTCTTTGGCTGCCTTCCTTGGAAAGGTCCCCCTGCTGAATATCTGCAAGGCTGCAACGTGGTCATCTACATCGATGTTCATAAAACACTACACCATCAATGTCAACTCCAGGAGTGATGCGACTGTGGAAAAGGCAGTACTCCAGTCACTGTTTCATTGAATCTATTTCCTCTGGATCTATGTTTCACTGAAGGATTACACACCCTCGTCCTGCAATAAGTGAGATTGTTATTCTCCCATGTGGGACTGCACAGAAGCCATGAACATGAAAACATGGTTGCCCTTACCTGTAACTATTGTTCATTGAGTGGTCTTCTGTGCAGGCACACTGTCCTCCCTCCTTTCCCCGCTGAGGGATCCTCCACCTTGGAATTCTTCTCTATGGCAGTGAAGAGAGGACTGAGGGTAGGAACGCTCATCCCATCTCCATCACATGCCAGTTTGGGCAGGAAAACTCTGGCTCACATTGGAGAGGAGGGGAATGCTCCAGAGCCTAGAAACTGCTAGAAAGCTTTGGAATTTTCTCCACAGCTGGCCTTGAGTGTGCAGTTTCATCTGTTCCAACACCCTGTTTCACGCAGTGGCCAACTAGATGCCTCCAGGAAGCCTAGAAACAGGGCACAAAGGCAACAGCCCTCCCCAGTGGAGCCCCCCACACACAACTGGTAGCGGGCTGACAGTATTTGATATTTTTAAAAAATCTATATTATACATTTTATTGGAGATGCAAGGGAAAGATGAGTGCAACTTTTATCTTTTTTAGTAGACAATAGTGCCCTAGAGTGAGCAACTAAGTTGGGACAAATGAAAACTGCCATTGGTGGTCTCAGCTTGGTGACAGCAAACCTGAACCAAAGATCAAATAATCATTTGGTATTTGTAATTGGGGATTTTGGGTTGGGGGGGCAGTTTCCATGTGCCTGGGCATTTGTAACTGGGACCTTGAGCCATTTTCTCCCTTTTCTTCTTAGTTTGGCTAAACAAGGGAACACTGGGAATGTTTAATATTACCTTCTGTGTTTCTCCCCACTCTACAGCTTATCGTATATTTCATATGTACCTCATGGAGGTAAAAGTGGGAAAGCCCAATCTACTGGATGTAAACACAGCAGCCTACTGGGATGATAACGATAGTTACACAGTGAAAATACGTGTTCTAAGCAAATTTTTCAAGCAGGTAATAGAGAACCAGCATTATTCAGGATGTAATTCATAAAACATAATTGGTTTTTATATGCTTCCAACATAAGTTTGCCAGATAACTGGAGAGAGGGCTGTGGGTAGGGATACAAGAGCAGCATGATGTTGGCTTCAGCATTTGGAGCAAAAAACTGGAAATGATATAGGTAGCCCTAGGAATTGCCAGAAACTCCATGGTAAAATTATACAGTTTCTAGTGATTCCTAGAGCTACTCCAGAAATGACAAAGAGTAGCTCTAGGAAACACCAGAACCTCCATGGTAAAACCAGAGAGTTTCTGGTGATTCCTAGAACTACCCTTTGTCATCCCTCTTTTTACTGAAAGTGACATGATGCTACAGCTGGTATTTTATAAAGAATTCTTCCACCACTGCTCTGAGTGGCAGCATGCAACAAGAGTGAGAGTGGGGGATGCCTCACCCTGACTGGGGACTTGGCAGCTATGATCCAAAGTCATATCAGACTTTTCTCTCCAATAAATATGTACTATCTACGTTACACTACACTACAATGCAAATTTGTATTGGTTTTAGACCAGTATAGCTGTTATGGTTTCCCCAAAGGCATATGAGAGATTACCATCAAAGAGAAAATTACATAAGGTAATGTTTGGGACATACATAATAATAGTGCCAAAGCAATCAAGCCTAGATCTAAGCAGTATAAGAACTGCCCATGTATTCCTACTTTCTACTTCTTGTAATTTAAGCAATTTCTAATCCATAAGAAAATCTATCCTCTTATCCCATGACTGCTAAACTTACTCAGGAGTCTTTGGTTAGATAACTTGCCAAAAGCCTTTTGAAAGTACAACTATATAATGTCTATATAAGTAAACATGCTGCTATGGTATATTTAATACCACGTGTTAAAATATAGTTCTGTGGGGATACAGGTTCTTTCCCATTCATATCTAAATTTTTGTTTCGACTGAAAGTTCTGTTTTTAAGAAAATATTATATTGAGGCAAGCTTTTTAAAATTATCTTATTTTTTCCTCATCTCCTTAACATAATGTCTAATTTGAAAAGAATGATAAATCGGGTGTCTACCACCCTCCATTTAAGCACACCAGTTCATAGTTAAATAAAAGCATCCATCTTTCAAAATTCTTTGATGCATCTGGTCTTGGAAAAGGGTACCCTACAATTTTCCATTATCTCCCCCCCCCCTGTAGCATCTCCATGTGACTTTCCATGTTGTTCATGAGGGTCTGTCAACTCTCGAGAGAAGCTTTTCAGAGTGCACAAGGGAAGACTGAGGAGGGAAAATCTCACTATATGAGTACAGTTCTCTTACACTGCTTAGAATACAGCCCTGTAAATCTTATAGTTAGCCCAAGTGCTCCAGACCATTTTATTTCTTCCTATTTAGAAATACTGCTGTGATACATTATTCTGATAGAGACATGTTAAATCTAAATTTTGTCTTTTTTTTTTACAAATTGCTTTTTGTTTTAACCAAGTGTCTCACACTCAACATTTTATCCTTATACAAGTGTTTCCCTTTTTTCCCTTTCCCCCTCCCTCCCCTCAGTCCTCCCCCCCCTTTCTTCTTCCATCATTGCTTCAGCCACGGGCACAAAGTTTCCAATGAATGTCTTTCTTGGCTTCATCCTCCTTGATCCAATCGAAGTATGGCGACCATTTTTCTCTTATCCTTCTCTTCTTTTCCTCCCAGGTTTTCTCCTCCATCATCAAGGATACGATATCTGATTGGATGTATTCAAAAAGATAGTTATTCCAATTCTCCATGGTCCACTTGTTCTTATCTTTCCATCCTAATACTATAACAGCTTTCCCAGCTAATATCATTGCCTTAAGTACCTCTTGGTATTTACTTTCTATTGTCTCGCTCTTCAAGATGCCTAATGTCATTAAATTAAAACCTATTGGTATTAATACACCTATCTTATCCTTTACCCTATCCAATATTTTCTTCCATAAATCCTGAACTATGGCACATTCCCACCACATATGCAAGTACCAACCTTTTGCCTGGTTGCAGTGCCAACAGTTCGAACTCATTCCAGGTATCATATTGGCTAGTTGAGCTGGCGTCCGGTACCATTTAGTATAACATTTCAGCTCTATTTCTCTAAATTTGTCAAATGTAATCTTTTTGACCCCCGTCATTAATTTTTTTAAGGTTGTTTTTGAGGTCAGTCCTTCTTTATACCATTTCTCCTGAATACTTTTAATTATAGACTCCTCGTTAGTAGTCATTTTTTTATATATCTTACCCGCTAGACCTCTACTTGTCTTTCTCTTTTCCTTGTACAATGCTTCTGCGATTTCTTCTGGTGCGATTTCTTCTGGATCTCCCACCCTCTTTTGCTGCTTTTTAAAAATTATGTTATATAGTCCCGTCAATTTCAACCAATGCTGTTTCCCTATCATCTCTATTATTGTTTGTAAGGGCTTAAGTTGACCACCTTCTTCGTACATATCTCTTATTCTGAATAATCCCTTTTCTTTAAGAACTTTCCACCAGTAGGAGTCATTGCTTTCCTCATATAAACTTTCTAGTGGTGCCCATTCGGAAGGTTTACTCAACCAAGTGGGTTGCCACTTTTTCCATATTTTCAGTGCTGTTTTCCTAGGTCCCACTGCTTTACCATATTCCTTTATTCACTTCCCTTGTGAAAATACCAAATCCCCCAGCTCTGTTGTTTAATTCATTTTCCAATCTAACCCATTTCTGATCCACATCCTCTCCTATTTCTATCAGTGACTTAACATTGAAAGCCTCATAATAGCCTATCAAATTAGGTATACCCCACCCCATTACGTTCTGCGGATTGTATATAAACTTTTTCTGCATTCTAGGTTTTTTGTTTCCAAATATCCATTCTCTAATTGTTCCATTCCATTTTTCTAACTGTTGTGTGTTTAATTCTACTGGGAGCGTTTGGAGTAGGTACATTACCTTGGAGATTAGAAACATTTTAGCCGTTCTTATTTTATTTGAAATGCTTAAATTTTTATTTGCCCATCTTTTCATATCCTTACAGACCTTCTTCCAGGCTGTTTTGAAATTCCCTTCAACTGTTTTTTTCCAGTTCTTCCTAATTTCAATCCCTAAATATTTTATTGTCTTGGCTCCTAGTCCTATTTTTGTCATCTTTGCAATTTCTCTTCTCTCTACTATGCCTACATTGAAGTACATGATTTCAGACTTATCTATATTCACTCTTAGCCCTGAGTATGCTTCAAAATCCTCCAATATAGTTCTTATTTCTCTGATTCCCTCTTTAGGGTTTGTCCGAGTTTCCATTATATCATCTGCAAACAGGTTAATCTTTAGTTCCTCATTGCCAATGTGATATCCATCTATTCTACCGTTGTTCCTTATTCTTTCCGCTAGTGTCTCAATTCCCATAATACATAAGTATGGAGAGAGAGGGCATCCTTGCCTCTCTGTATACTAAAATCCCTTGAATGCCCTCCATTTACCCTTACAACTGCCTTCCTTCCTTTATATACTTCTTGTATAGCATTCTTAAATCCCCATTTGTTTATAAGGCTTTTACTATGTTTTATGATATCCACATTGAAATCGCCGGTGACAATTAAATCTCTCTGAACCAAATTTTGAGTCTTTTTCATTACTTTGTTTAGGAACTTCTTTTGACCTCTATTTGGTGCATATAGGGTAAGAATTGTAAAGTGTGTTTTGTTTATCTTACCTCTGACTGTTGCGTATCTACCTTCTTTGTCCACCATTCTATCCACTACCTCTATATTCAAGTTTTTTTCCTAGTATCGCCACACCCCTTGCTTTGTTAGTACCTCTGGATTCACTTAAGGTTACCCACCCCGGGTTATTGAGGAGTGGCTTAGGATCCCTTTTAGCTTTGTGTGTTTCCTGGATGCATACTAGATTGATCCCTTCATCTCTTGCCATCTTGCCTAGCCGGTATCGCTTAAGATTTGAGGATAAGCCATTTACATTGAGTGAGAGTATTTTAATTGGTCTAGCCATATTCTTTGGAGAACTTCCTGCCTCTCCCCCGTAGCTGAAGCTTGTTAGCTATTTCCCTATTGTTTCCCCATTCCCCTTCCCCCTCCCAAGTGAAAGAGAAACTATTCTGGGGTTCCTCACCCCTTCTCTCCACATTCCAGAGATCCCGCATCCCCCCTCCTCTCCCACCATTCTTTTCTTATCGCATTAGTTACCATTAAGCCCAACTATAAGTGTATACTTCCCTTTAGCTGCTTGCTGCTCGGGAGTCAGATCTATGCCGCTTGGAGCTGTGTGGCCTTGGCTCCTCGTCTTCTTCATCTGGATTGCTGTCATGTTCCATCTCTCCCTCCTCGCAGTTGCTAGCATCCACTGCCAGTTCATTAAGCATTTTAGTTGCTTCAGTCGGATTCCTAGCTCTGTATCTCTTGCCATCTCGAAACACAATTAGAGTTGTTGGGTATCCCCAAGTAAAGTTAATTCCTTCTTTATAAAGTTTTTGTGCATAGGGTCTCAACAGCCTTTTTTCCTGCAGCATCTCTTGGCTAAAGTCATGGCTCACATAAAAATTTTTTCCTTGGAACTTTAAGTCCTTAACCCTCCTGAGAGTTCTAAAGACCTCATCTTTTAGTTTTTCTCTTGCAAAGGCAATTATCACTTGTCTGGGTTCTCCCCCTCTTTGTTTCTTGTAAAGTCTGTGAGCCCTCTCAATTTCTGCTTGCTCGACCTGAGCGCCATTCTCTTTAAAGAACTCGCAAAGTGTCTCTTCTAATTGCCTCGGCATTATCTCTTCACTAATGCCTGTTATAATCATATTCCTCCTTCGCTGTCGGTCTGAGAGCCTTGCCAGGTTTTTTGCCAGTTCCTTAATCTTTTTCTTATTGTCGTCAGATTTCTGCTTAGCTTGTTGGGCTTTTTCCTTCACCTTGCCAATCTCTTGGGCTATTTGCGTTATATCTATTTTCAGAGCTCCTAAATCATCTGTTACTATTTTTTGGAATGAGGCCAGTTGCTC